CTACCTGGAGGGGCACCATTTCAAGGTGGTAACGGATCACAGAAGTTTAAAATGACTGAAGTCCATGCAGTAGCCAACATCCAGATCAGCACGATGGATTCTGAAATTACAGCCTTATGCTTTTGAGCTGCTGGAAATAAAAGCAAAATAGAACAAAGTGGCTGATGCAAGTATTTCAAAACTACTATTGGTCTAGGTGTAGTCAAGACGTGATCAAGTATATGTAAGGAAATTTTTTATGAGACCCGAATATTAGGGTCGCTGCAATATCAATCATAGATTGTCGAACTCGTTTTTATTTCATAAGAGAACGATACTTCATCGATAGGAATGGTTAATGCGCGAAAGATAAACCCAATAACGACAATGGCAAAACCAGACAAAAATCCAATTAATTCAACTTATCTACCCCATCAATAAATGGGTTTCGGATTCCGATGTAGGTAAAATACCGATGGATAATTAAATTAAAGCCTAAAAAACTTGTCACCAAATAGATAGACAATTTTATCAACATCAGAACATGTCATTTCAACGACGAGAGCAAAGGTGATATTTGCTCAACCCCAATTCAACCAACTACTCCTAACACACTAAGACTAACCACCCCAAAGGGGACACCAAAATTTTTTTAAACATTACTTGAATATACACTAATTTAAATACAAGTTTATATCCAAATACCACCATATTCCACTGTTACAGAAATAGTTACCTACGATATTATTATTAAAGTTCACATTTGCGTATTTGGCAACAACTTTTAGCAATCGCCTACTAATTTGTACGTTTCAACTGTATTTGTCTCTTACAACTGAAGATAAGTTTAACTTTATAAAAACACACTTTTAAGTAAAACTGTGGTAGTGGTACTTTTATATTGACAAAAGATTTGCGCTTAATTGCCGAGGGCCCTTGCGCTAATCGATTTAATATGAAAATGATAGAAATATACTTTCCTATAACACTTAAATGAATTAAACCTTCAGCCAACCTGCGTAGCTCAGATGAGTTTACGTTAGTAGCTCTAGCGCTGGCTACAAGGGTCCTGGGTTCGAATCCCAGGTAAGGCACGGCTGTTTGTGATTGTATAGTGGGTTGAGTGGGGAGAATAGCTAATTAGCTAACACTCCGCCCACTATAAAATAAAGGCATTAAAAAAAATGATTCGAAGTGCAAATAATATATGAAAAGGTAAACAAACTGGTCCTTAGTAAAAGCTGATTATAATGTTTTTAAATACACAAGATCCTTTTTGGTAGTATTACTCAAAGGTAGACCAAGTTACAAGAAGGTTTCTACTCTACAGAGAATGTTTTTGAAGCATCCAGACTCTTGTTGAAATTGATACCGCTACCTTCTGTACGAAACTTCCTTTAGTTGGCCGATTTTTTACGAATAGGAAAACTCTCACCGTTTACCAAAATAGTATATTAAGTATGGAGAACGGTAAGGGATTTTTACCGTTCGAAGACAATTGTTTGGAGGAGGAGCGAAGCGACGACTCCAATTATTGTCTGAGAACGGTAACCCTTAACGTTCGACGTGCTTATAACATTTTTTGCGCGATCGAAATTAAATTTATGCAACCAATATAAATATGCACTAAGAAATTAACGAGCAGAATAAATCGAAATGATCGAAGTGGTATGGTGTATATCACTAGGTAACCAGTTTATTTGCAAAATTGAAGTTAATAATTTCATAAAAATGTGCATGTGTCTGATGTAGTTTACTAGCTTTGAACTTCCTTTATGACTTTATGAGCGTCTTGCTATAGGAAACAACAGCACAAATTGTACGTTTAATGTACCTAACAATAATTAAAGATTAAATGTAATGTAAGACTGTTGATTTTTAAAAAGGCGTCGGTAAGTATTTTTGCTGTTCTGTTTTTAGATCGGTAAGTAATTTTGATGTCGTCGTAATCATAGCAACTGGTAAATTCTACCTACTGTCATGGAAACACCCATGGTAAATAGTCAGAAATGACCGATCGCGCAAAAAATAATAATAAGCTAATAATTAACCATCATTCGTAAATTTTTCAAAGCCGACAATGAAGGGAAAACACAAATCGAATATGCATGAGAGAATCGTTTAATACAGCAATTACATGAATGCTAATAAAAGACGATCGCATTCCCGTAATTAATACTCGATAACGTAGATTATTTATGCGTCAATTAAGTAGCAACAATTTAGTTCACATCAAACGAATATCACAAACGAAAGTATTTTAATTAAAACCAGTTTTCTAATATTCGGAGCAATTATTAAGGCAATTTAAACTTAAACGATACATCCCAGAAAATAATGCTTTAGCACTAATTTTAGTCAATCATGTAATTAAACGAAGGGATAATTAGAAAATGAGTACGTTGAGACTTATAAAATTCAGTTATTTATTCTCACAGTAAACCAATAACCCGCTGCAAAGTATTAAATTCTGAATTTGATGGTATATATTTGGAAAACTTTAAAATTATAATGAGAAATTGCCAATTGCTATTTTATTGTGTGTAATTTTTTTGAAAGAAAGTCTACATAGATGATTCCAAAAGGGAATAACTCAATGCATTTTTAAAGTAGAAAGCACTATAATCGATGTAGTTTTTCATATTTTTTATTATACCGGCATCAGAATCGTCGTTTAAAGGTTCAAAGCCCGAACGAATTCGGTCGAATGTATTCATTCGTCCGAATTCTCTCAAATTCGTTCGACGTTAATATTTTTCTGCCCACGTATGTGCCTCTGAACGACTACTTTCTCAAGCACTCGATTGTATATAGCCATTGCGTAGTCCGTGGGAACTCATACACATTATTATTATTAATAGGAACGTTTTGGAGAAAGGCATTGCTTGGAACAAAAATTGGGCAACACCTTGATGGTTTTTTTAATATTACTTTAGATGTTGTAGATAATAATATTGCAGTTATCTTGGAAAAGTGGGTGTAGACCAGTAAATATGATGACTGGAATAAATTGTTGCTTAATACAATTAACTTAAACTATAAATTTTTGTATTCCATAATAATCCTTTTCTGGTTGTCAGTGTTGTTTTTATCTATACGCTCCCAACTTAAAATTTTTCAAAGTTAAAGGTGTTTCCAACCTAAGACATTAATTCTAAAGTCTCCTGTAGTTTTTTATAATTTTTTTAAAATTAAATTAAAGCACCGAAATAGCAAAAAAAACACGTCTTACAATGCTTTATTGTAATACTTCTATAATAGGTAGCATTGTAACACTTCTTTCAATATACTATTTTCAGTTAATCTTTGAACAACAGAATAAGCGGATCAAGCCTGATTATGCCTTACCATGTATTACAAATCTGTCTGAAATTGAAATGTGAACAAAATTAAACGTTTGTTACCTTTCATGACGAAGTAGGATTTACACGACTCGTGTATACCACATTAGCGTTGTCTAGTTCAACTACGAGTATATAGTTGATTGATTATTATTTTCCTATGTCTAACTCTGTTGCGAAGACCATTGCCTAGAATGAAATAATCAAACAAATTTGAGCTGTCAATAATGTAAGTGACCATGCGTGGAAACGAAGAAATTTTCTAAATAATGTCGCATTGGTAAACCGCAAGTATTGGAAACCCAATTAAAGGTCATTTTAACCTTGATACCGTAGGTAATAAATTTCGTAATATTTAGACTGTTTATTGGCAAAGCGTGATTGATTATATGGCCGTTATATTTTAAACGGGAAAATCGTTTAGCCATCGTTTTTATAATAGCTATGAATTGATTTGGATGCATTCATGTATTCTACCGAAAATTATCCTTATAAAACCCATTTTATTGGAAATAGTCAACATCCTTTTAGTGCAATTACATTCGTTTTTCCAATTAAAACGGCTCTGTCTATACTGTGTTTCTTTGTTACATTTATACATCACAACCATTACAGTTTCCACCTTGAAATTGTTAATATTATCATATAGGTAAAAGGACCAGTTCGGATTTTCCCACAAGGGCGAGTGATTGATTTCGCCCAGTAGGGTTACGAGGCATTGAGAGTCGCAATAGTTCGGTAGTAAAATCGGAAATTTTACCTCACCCTAGAAGTTTTGACTGTCACTCTTCAGGATTTTGACAAATTCGAGATGGTTGTGATTTGTCTTGGTTTTTTAAATTAATTTCTACCCTAACCAATCGAATTTAATTTTACTCCTTTAAAGAAAGTTTTATGGCCTTATAAAAAGATGGTGGATGCATATTATAATTCTAAAATGGTGATCGCCCGAGGAGGGGAGTACAATCCCATTTTAGCTTCACAATCGCATCCTTCAATCCAAAAAACCTCCAAAACTTTACAAACTGCACTAAATCGCAATCTTGTGTGCAAGTATTTGTGATTCCTAAATAACTTATTTCTTTGAGAATTCTCGCAGGTTTTGCATGCGGTCGAGGTAAATACAAGCTTCATTACCCCGAAAAATTCTAGACTCCGAGAGGCAATTATGTTGCAGAGTGGGTTTCAAGGGCATCAGCTCAAAAGCGATCCAGTTTTCAATTTTTCGAAGAGGAATCCTTTTCAAGGGACCATTTGCAGCCTAAAGAAAAACACCGATCTGTAAGTTACTTCAATTTCTTTTAATTGTAAAAACTATAAAGTATTGGTCGGTTATCTTTAAGAATTTGCAATGGATGTTTATTTAACGTAATCATAATATCTTTGCAGGAACAGATCTATGGAGATTCATTGCAAATCGATATTTTAATTCATAAAGATGTAAAGGAGAATGGAATTGGATCAACCTTAGTTTGTCCATATATTCAATTGTTTATTTTGGAATTCGTATTTATTCGTCTGCAGTCAAACCAGGGCGTTAAGTTTCAATTTTCCGATTTAAAAAGGAGATGAAAGGCCAAACTTCCGCATGATAAGGGGTATTCAAAGGACAGCCGGGTTGATCCCTAGATTCTTTTTTGGAAACGTTGAATTTTTAAATGCATAATTAGCTTGACTTACCTCTAAAACCCAAAGTTCCGCAAACGTCAAATCACCGAGCATCACAATCTTGTTGTAACTCAAAAATAGCTTCTTAAGTTCTCCCAAACCGGCAAATGTGTCCTTAGTAAGTATACTAATTGCATTAGTGCCTAGTTCAAGTTCAACTAAATGTCCCAAATGTCTAAAAGCACCTTCTTGAATCACACTTATATTATTTTGTTTGAGGAACAACTTTTTTAACAACGGCAAGTCGACAAACACATCCCGATTCAGTTCCGATATTTTGTTTTCGTCCAAATCTATGACGGATACGTTCGCTAAGTGGGCAACGGCGTGATGACTTAATGTCGTTACGCGATTTCTCGCCAGTTTTATCTCGTGCACCTTTGTTAAATTAGCGAAAGCGTAAGGGTGAATATCCTCGATACCCCCGTACAGAATCGTGAAAGTTTGTAGGTCGCGCAAGAATTGCAGGCCTTTCGTGGGAATGAAATTCAATTCGCCATTCGGCGTTACCATTATGTTAAGCTCCGTTATAAACGGTTGCGTCGAAAACAATGTCCAAAGGCTGTGTTCCGGCGTTAATCCATTAAAAACCCAGCATTTCGCCTTCGTCGCGTTCGCCGTTGACGTACCGTCACTACAGAAGCAATGGAAAGGCGCCGAATTCCCTTCGATTGTACACAAATTATTATTTTCCACGCCCAACTTCGGCATCTTTTTCCTCTCCTTCTCCTTTCGAAGTTTTGCCACCGCACAGGAGATTAATAACAGGATCATGTAAACTGCAAGCAGGACGTTCAACCTTTTCATTTCCATATCTGAAACAAAACGAATCAATTAACTTCACTCTTACAACATTTACTTTAGGCGTAAGATCTACAACAGAGCTTAATTATTTAAGAAGATCAAAGGCCGAATTTAAGCTTAAATTCAATGTAGCGGTTAAATATTTAGCTCGTAAACTTTACGCTAAACAGTAAAGACCAAGTAATTATAATAATGAAAAATTGCTTTAGTCTAAAGCTTCTTAACAGTTTAAAATGTATTAAGAGCTTTAAAATTTATTTGCAAAATTAATTAAAGGAAGTAAATTAAACACATGTAGACCACTTATTTAGGCAGGCTTTTTAGACTTTTAAATAAAAAAAAAGCTTCCTTTACTTTATAAGTAATTGCATCTACTTAGCGGAGGAGATTGTTGCAATTTGTTTTACTAGTATTTCCAATTATATTTAAGAAAACACGGCACAAAGTGAACTTGTGGTTTGGAAATTATGACTATTATAAATGAATCTGCGAGATTTAAATAGGTTCCTTTAGACTTTTCTCAAGCAAATTTAAAGTAGGTACTTGTGTTCTATTTCAATACGGCGATGTAAATCAACAAACCTTATACAAAATTGGCCTATGTAGAATTAAGGTCCAATTTAAGGAATACAAAACCGTACCATGATCGTGAGCAGCTTCAATGGTTTCTGTACATTTTTTCTCTTCTAATTGAATGTAACAAATAGTCCAATATTTGCACATGAGGCTGGTATGTTAGCGGATTATATGCGTTCCACAGGAGTACAACACATATATTGCAGATTTACTTCAGCCGGTTCCCATTTACTTCTGTAAATCCGTAGTAGTATTCACAATGTTTAGTTCAGTAAAGCGTGTACGTATTTTTAATTTACCATATGAATTATTTTCTACCGGTTCAAGCAAAATTACTTATCGATTACATCATTATTGCTACCAACAAATAAGCAACCAGATGTTAAATTAGCTTCTAGTAGTTCCAAAAACGTGGAAAAACTACATGTTAACGTCAACATCAATCAATAGTTATTTATTATATAAGACCATAAAGGGATATTTTAACCATTGAGAACTTTCACAATATGGTAAGTTTTTCTTTATAGAATTTAATTTAGACGTCAGAAATAGCAAGCTTAAGTTTTGCCGTCGCGGTCGTTTTCATAGAAACAGCATTGAATTATGTTCTGAACTTCATTTTATTTCGTTCGACGCAGGTCCCATTCGAAATAAGAATGACAGCTGTCATTAGTGTAATGTATTCACATTAGTATATTACTAGACGTCAACATAAACGTACCTGTTTACTAAGTTTATATTTACTTTAATTAAAGGTGTACTTAATTTACATGCCTTATTATTTAATGTGGTCAGAAACCACCACTTGGTGACAGCGGTAAAAGGTGTACATCTGTGAAGTGTTGTAAGAAGATAAGGTGGTACGTGATCATAGACAAAAGTATTAGGTGTGCATGATAAATGCGTGGGGAATAAATTCGATTATAAAGAAAAATACGCGATTTTATTACTTCAATCAGGACATCTGATGTTTAATAATAAATTAATAACTTAATTAGTTATTGGCGAAGTGCATTATGGCGGAACAATGTCGTGCTCCGGAACCATTTTCGTTTACTGGTGATTTACCTGCAAATTGGAAATTGTGAAACAGAAATTTCAATTTTATCTATTAGCAAGTGGGAAGTGTGATAAAAAAGACGATGTAAAAATCGCGATTCTACTTAACTTGTTGGGTGATGAAGGTATTAATGTGTACAATACGTTTGAGTACACAGAGGAGGAAGATAGCAGAAAACTTGCCACAATAATTAACAAATTTGAAAAATATTGTAATCCAAGAAAAAATCTTGTGTACGAGCACTTCAAGTTTTTTAAAAGGGAGCAACTGGTAGGCGAGTCAATTGATCAGTTCATTACCGCGCTGAGACAATTAGCGAGTTCTTGTGAGTTTGTGGAAAAAGATACTATAATACGTGACAGAATCGTGTTAGGGGTAAGAGATCCTCGAATTCAAGAAAAACTCCTACAAGATCCCAACCTGGAATTGAGTGACGCGATAAATACTTGCCCACCGATGGAAAGTAGTGTTCTTACTCAAAAAGAGATTAACAAAGAACATGTGACAGTGAGTGCGCTTAAGCAATGGTTTAAAAACAGTAGTGGACCACAAAGTGATTACAGACAAGTGCGTGAATCCAGCGACCACTCAACGGGAGGTTTCGGCCAAGTAGCGGGATACTCAGGTGGTGCTGGAGGTCGACAAAAAGGTAACCATCCGTGCTCTAATTGCGGGCGGCAACACAAATTTGGTAAGTGTCTCGCATTTAATAGAGTGTGCAGTTTTTGTAAGCAAACTGGACACTATCGCAATTTTTGTAAGAAAAAGTCAAATATTCATGAACTAATTGAACAGTTTGGTCATCTCGAGTTGGACGAAGATGAAGATTTTGCTACCGAGCAAAATGCAGACTCTAACCTAATCGTGTGGACAATCACAAATTCGGATATTAGTGCAATTGACTGGGTAAAAGTGTTAAACGTTTCGGGAGTAAATATTGAGTTTAAAATCGATACGGGAAGTCAAGTCAATACACTAAATATTTTCGATTTCAAATCCTTAAATATACCAATTAAAAAACTAACGAATGCATCTTCAGTTTTAGTATCGTATTCGGGTCACAAAATTAATGTGATGGGACAAGTTTATCTAAAATGTATGTACAATGACCAAAGTCATATTTTGTTGTTCTACGTGATTGACGATCCCAAAATATCCTCAATTTTGGGATTAAATGCAGTGCGAGAATTAATCATTATACCAAAAACAATTGCTCGTATAAATAAGACACTTAGTCTGGATGCGGTTAGTAAAAAGCTACCAGACATTTTAAGTTTGTATAACTCAGTTTTTGTGGGCATTGGTAAAATAAACAAACAATCTTGTGTGATAGCGCAGTGCCTTGTGTAAGTGCACCGCGAAAAATTCCTATCGCTCTTAGAGATAAAGTGAAAGCAAAGCTGGACCAAATGGTTCGCGAACAATTAATAATTCCCATAACTGAACCTACCGATTGGGTTCACCCTATAGTGGTTGTGCAAAAACCAGACAAAAACGACATTAGAATTTGCATGGACCCTCGTGCGTTAAATAAATACATTAAACGTGAAATTTTTCAAATACCCACCGCGGACGTTTTATTTTCGCAACTCGGGGGTGCTAAATATTTTAGTATACTTGATGCTTCGTCTGCATTTTTGCAGATACCCTTAACGCATAACAGTTCATTGTCATGTACAATAGCTACCTGCTTTGGCAGATATCGATACTTACGTCTTCCATATGGTATTTCATGCGCACCGGAAAGTTTTCAAAGATTCATTTTTGAAATACTGGAGGGAATTCAAGGCGTGTCATCCTACTTCGATGACATTCTCGTTTTCGGAAAAACAGTAGAAGAACATAACGAAAATCTAAATAGTGTTCTTAAAAGAATTAAAGATAGCGGTCTTACCCTAAATCGTGAAAAATCAAAATTCTGTGTTAAGGAATTAACATTTTTGGGTCATACGATCAGTAAACGTGGCATATCACCTCACCAAAACAAAAGGCGTGCTATATGTGAAATGAAATCACCCAAAAATAAAAAAGAATTACAGAGGTTCCTTGGTATGATTGTCTACCTTTCTAAGTTTATTCCAAATTTGTCGAGCGAAACCAATACTCTCAGAAATCTTCTAAGTGAAAACACAGAATGGCAATGGACTTCGGTCGAGGAAGCAACATTTAATAGGCTCAAACAATTAGTTTCCTCAGCTACAACTTTGACTTTCTTTGATCCGAAAAAGGAGATCAAATTCAGTAGATGCTAGCCCATATGGACTAGGGGCAGTTATCACTCAAGATAATCGGCCTATAGAATTTGCAAGCGTGTCATTAACTCAGACTCAGCAACGATACAATCATATAGAAAAGGAGTTACTAGGACTCGTATTTGGTTGTGAGCGTTTTAATTACTATTTGAGCGGGCAAATTAATTTTATAATCGAAAGTGACCATCGTCCACTTATTGGACTATTAAAAAAACCTCTAGATGAAATGTCGCCGCGAATCCAGAGACTTGCGATAAGACTTCTTCGATATCAGTTCACACTTTCGTTCGTTCCGGGAAAGTGCCTTCAGGTACCAGATGCGCTTAGTCGTGACCCCACAGACGACATTATTAATACCGAATACTTGGATTCTAAGTTCAAATTGTTTTCTGTTATAGCAGTTAAACCTGAAACAGAAAACAAAATAAAGGAGGCTGTTCATGCCGACCCTATATTAATTGAAATTAAAAATTATGTATTGCACGGATGGCCCAAACATCAAATACAAGTTTCTGACGGTGTGAAGCAGTATTGGCCTGTGCGAAATGATACACATCTCCACGAAAACCTACTTTTTTACCAAAAGCGGCTAATTTTACCTGCAAGTCTTAGAAATGAGTTTCTAAATTTAATCCATAAATACCATCAAGGTGTGAATGCTTGCAATAAATTGGACCAGGATGCCATCTATTATCCAGGATGGTCATCAGACATCGAAAAGATGGTTCTCGGTTGTCAGTTGTGTCAATCGTATGCCAAATCAAATGCGAGAGAACCACTTTCTCCACATGACGTACCTGACCGACCTTGGCAAAAAATTGCCATTGACTTTAAAGCACTAGGCCCCCAAGATTTCCTAGTTGTAGTAGACTATTTTAGCAAGTTTGCTGTGGTTAACAAATTGCCCAACAAAACAGGTAACACTGTTATCTCATGCTTGAAGAATATTTTTGCAATTAATGGATTGCCTGAAGAAGTATTTTCCTACAATGGACCTCCGTTCAATTCATGGGACTTTATAGAATTTGCAAATAGGTATGATATCAAGTTAACTACGTCTAGTCCTCGATATCCCAGATCTAATGGAATGGTTGAGAGAACAGTGCAGACTGTAAAAAGTCTT